GCAGGCTTCTGTGAAGGCGATGATAAAGCACATTCAGATTTCATAAAAGGCAGGGCATTCCTTCACTGCCTGAGTGACTACAAGCCCCTCAAGGTCTCACATCCACAGAGTTCATGTTCTTTCACGGTTCTCCTCATTGCTGCCAAGAAGAGAGAATCTTAATCTTTATTGTTGTTTCTGGGGTTCCTCCAAAATGTTGACATCCATCTGCAAGACTTCCTGGCATCATAATCCACAAGACCAAAATCAAAATCTTGACCACCACAAGAACTTCAAATCCCCAGTTTAAGACTACTTAAACTTTCCTACTAAACATTATGGCCAGGCATGTACTAACTAACTAACTAGATGGCTTACCAAACCTGAAGGTTCATGACCGAATTAACCAAAGCCCTCCACCGGTCCCTGTCCTGGGCCAACAAAATCCAGCCTCCTTCGACTCCTATTTGGTCCTGCTAAACCTAGGCCTGAGTAAGGTCCTTCATGGTTTTATTCAGTGAACCCAGGTAAATCATAAGACTATCTTAAATTAATAACACAAATGCATCTTTTCCATGTAACAATTAATTTGTGTACCAACATCACAATTGCCTCCATCACTGTGACTACAACTGACACAGTAAACTAGAAAATAAGGAATACATCAGTTAACGTTCAAAATTTTACAAGTATTTAAACTACAATAGCACAAGTTAGTCGTCAACTTACCTGTACAAGATCCAGGATGCTGGCAAAACTTTGACGAACATCCATGAAGGGGCAGTTGACAGAGAGTCTCAGGATGGTAGGCATGTGCAGGGTCACGAGAGATATGTACTCTGCATTGTTCTTGTCTGCGCAACAATGACCATTGGTAGCAGCGTTATTAATACCAACATTGTTACCAACTGGGGTGACATTAGAGGGCAATCTCGAATGCTTAGGACTACCATAACCATCCAACCAACCCATGACTGTTTTCTCGATGACTTCAAGTCCCATCGAACGAGCGGCATGGTCCCTGGTACACACTGGCATACAGAAACGGTTAATGAGGTCCACTTCTTCAGCAACGTCATTTCCACATACCTCGTTACTTTGGCCATGGAAGCGACTTTCAATATCAATAGCGATGGTTGGAGTTGCATTGTTATTGGTAACACTGTTATTTGTTGCCCTCTTCAGTTCTGGAGTTTGCAGAAACATGATATGCTGAGGATGTGAGTAGGAAAAAAGGTTTCACTCCCGAACTATGAAGAATTTAATTTGCACTGAACTTGGAAATACTTTATCAGACCTACACGATATAATTTTATTAACGTTTCACTATAATACTGTGTAAATACTGTAACAAATTAATAAATGAAGTTTATACAGCTAATAAGTGTCCATCCTGTTTTCAGCAAGCTGCACCTGAAATGAAAAACAGAGACACCATAGTTTGTAATAAACGGTAGTTACAAGAATAAAAATAAATCGAAAAATCATACAGGCCTACACTGATTTCACATACAAAGAAATATTCTAAAAACTTGTCATTCTAAGAAAAATTATAAAATAGCAGTTTCAACAAGTCATTTGCATCCACTTCAGAATACGAATTACATAACAGTCATAAAGCATTAATTTTATTATACACATTTTAAAAAGGCATTTGACAGCTACTCACCGGCTTCCTACCCACAGTCCGTGGAAACTTCCAGCTGCCGTCCTGTCAGCTGGTTTCGGGCCGGTAGGTGCGTTCTGTTGCTAGCGGCCCCTTATCGAGCGTTCCCTTTCCCCAAATAGACTTTTGTTAAGTCACTTTACGTTTAAAAATAGACTAAAATAATCACCTACTTGTTGAAGATGAAAGTTAATATATGTAATAACACTCGTTTTACTCACGCATTGCACTATACACTTGCAATATTAAGTATATTAATGAATTTTTACAAACCACATATCTCGTCTGTGCTCAAATCGTTTGACAGATGAGTGATGTCCATGCTCCCTAGCGGCAAATTCATGAACAATGCGACAACAGCGCTCATCGCGTGGCGGTACTTACAGTCGTACTATTGCAAGATTATATTTCTTTATGCAGAAATATGCCCACAAAACACAAAAGCACATTTTGACGTGGAAATGTCAGATGCATGGTTTGTTCTGGATTGAAGAAGAACAAATCATCTAGATACGGGTTACAATTTTTAAAGTCAATGTTATTAAAATGTCAACCTCATATACAATAAAAAATCAATGTTGATCTTGATTTTGGGTTCTGGCATCGTGTGGAGAAACACATTGCCTCCTTTATCAGAGGTGATAGCTATCAAGCCTTAATCCGGCCCTGACTAGTACAAACCATTCAAACGTAACGCATCTCGTCACCGTGTTATAAAGATTGCCTACAAAACTGAACAGATGTTCTCTTATCTGAAATGCCATTGGTACCAATTGTTTAAATTAATTAATTTTGCGCTTTTGATATTATTCCCGCTATGGCAGTTATTTTCAATTCGTTTCTGGTCAAGGAACCCGTCACATACTGCATTTTCTGTTAACTCATTGGGCCTTGCAAAAAACTTCGAGGTATTAGAGCCAAAATAAAATTATTCCACTTAACTAAAATCCATAAAAATAACGTTCGAGTTTCCTGTTCCCTCATTTCAATTTCCTTACTATGAATATGTAGCATTATTAAACTTTTCGCGCTTTTTTGTGGAAAGGCCAACATTTGCATAATAAGTATGCTTAAATGCCAATATCTCTTGAATTAATTTCTTTAAGAAACTTCTTCGCCAAAAGTTCCCTCTGGTTAATATGTGTTCTTTGCATCGCGAGAACTCATTATGGGCTGCTCCTACCTGTCCGCTCATCCGTCCATGCGATTAACTCGCGAAATTTGATGCGGAGATTGTGCTATTCTGCACGGTCTCAAAATCGTATCTTGAATACTCTACGAGTGGTGATCATAAAATTCGAATGGGGGAAGTATTTCTTTGCAAAGTGCATTTGAAGGTATTAAATGTCATGTTCGATAGGTTCCACTTTGGCCACCAGAATGCAGCACCTCATACACAAAGATATTACGTATATTCCGGTACGAAATACAGGGAAATTGAAGGATGAAGCTGACCACTCACCTGAACCTATTACTGAGATTAAGAATACTTAGAGCTTTACCTCCATTCCTCCATATGTGCATCCACAGCTAGATGCACGCACACAATGGCAACTTTACTTTTTACACAGTGGCTTATTCAGTTTTGTGCCAAAATGAAATTTTAATAAATGCACCCTTTCAATGGCTCTTGTATTTTGCGAAGAAAAATAAATGTAGCAGACTTTTTAAAGTACTTAAAATCAGGGCTAAGGGAGAAATGGTTCCTTGCTACTCAAGTTTTATCTTTTCTGAAACTCTTAGGTAAGCCATACCCTCTAGTTTTGAACCCTGCACCAAGTAGCACCAATACAACTGAACCTATGCTTCAAGCAGTTATATATCACTTCCGGGATGGTATACTTATTTTCTGAACCAGCATAAGTGCATTGTTATTTTCGTGATTATCAAAGGTAAGTTAAAACAAAATTAACCGAAATCTTCTTGGATGCATATTACATGTCAGACAGGCATCTTATAGTTTTAAACAGGCTTATTACACAATTAAAATGCCATACAGTGCAATGACCTACCCTAGTGAATCCAAAAACAGCTTAATCTCTGGTTAAAGCATTGTTTCTGACAGTAGTGCAGCTGAAGAAGTTATGAAATGACAATGTTCTTGTATTTATATAAGAAAATACAAACAATTTTACAGCAATAATCATTTTGTACAGTCAGTGTAAATGTCATATCCCATTTACAAGTGCCCACATCACTTACGGACTGAGAAATATAATCGTAATGAGCAAAGTCATTCCAAGAACATAACCTCAAAATATTAGAATCAGACATACCAAGGCAATATTGAAAGACAAACAATTTCTGAGTATAATATTTTCCATACTGTTGATATAGTTCACAAAATGTCAGTTTGTAGTTGAAGACAATGGCCATAAACTTTTACAGCATTCTTACTCAGATAGTTTAACACTAATAAACAGCTTGTTAAACTTCAAATTTCTTGTATATATTTTTATCCCTTACATTTTAGAAGACAAATTTCTTGTGAATGCACAATGTAAACAAATCTGAAGCAAACTGATTCTAATATGAATTCACCCAATTTCCTACCTTTTATGTAACTGCATGTAGAGGTAGGCATATTTGTTCCCTGCCATTTTCATGTTTTAGAAGATACATTTTTTTCCACATGGAGCAATCTTGTAAGTATAAAAATATACATTTTTATCCGTATTATCTTCCTTTCCATCTTAGTGATGTTCATGAAAAACAATGTTTAAAACATCTGTTTTTAGACTGCTCATATCAAACTAGTTAATGGTGTTATTCTAGCACCTTACACTATATGTATATTCTAATAGACCTTGTAAAATATATTCTTTCATTATTTGTTACATATTTACAAACTGGGATACTGGGTTACTGGGAACAACCCATTCTTCAAGTGCCTGAGCACTGCAGGTCCCAACTTTTCGTTGGCTCGATCTATAGACATTTGGTAGGACTCCTTGGACGAGGGATCGGCCCGTCGCAAGGCCTCTACCTGTACACAGGTGTGGGCCTTGTGCCGCTTAGTCGCTGGGACCGTGGGTTCGAATCCCATTTAAGCCATAGATGTCTGTCCGCGTTCTTCTGTGTTGTGCTGTCCTGTGTACAGATAGAGGCCTTGCAACAAGCCGATCCCTCGTCCAAGGAGTCCTACCGAATGTCTATCGATCAAGCCAACGAAAAGTTGGGACCCGCAGTGCTCAGGCACTTGAAGAACGGGTCGTTCCCAGTATCCCAGTTGTCACATTTCTAAACTGGTTTAATTGGGTTTTTATGATACTCTTGCCTTTGCTCAGGAAAGTATTAAATCCATACATAATGACCCACAAATATTTCTTATAATTTATAGTTTTAAGTAAGAAAAGATGCAGAAAAAGGATTTAATTTTATCTATCCAAAAGAATAAACTAAAATACACACCTAGCTCCTTTCACTTGTTTAAAAAATGCACATGAAATAAATTATATGATGGATATAGCTTTTATGTCTGAACAAAATAAGGTTTTCCATTTTCCTACCTGGAGGATAAAATGCAACACCCAGTCCCTTACAGATTTTGTTTAAAAAATGTTTCTGAAAGAGAGATGATGGATACAGATTTATCCCTGAACTGCAGTCAGACACATTTAAATTTTACTTTATCAGTTCCTTAAAAACACGTTGACTTTACGGAGGTTATGATAACATCTGCTTAGATAATACGGCCATAATTTTGAATGCTGTTGTTACTGAGTACAGCAAAAGTCACATCACTTGTACAGCTAATCGGTGGATGGAAGGTCATGTATCTGAGAAACGCTGCTTTAATCTGAGAGCAATAGCTGCAACAAGTCCTGCCCCTTTACCGCTCCCATCCTCCGCTAATAAGAGCCGGAACTGAAAAAAATCGTATATCTAAGTACCATTCTCAAAAAAACATTGAATATGGAAGCCATTTTATGGTTTATCTTATCCACTGTCAGACAATGAAAGTTGAAGTTAATTTATTTACTATGATGAGCCAAGTGACAAGTCAGAGGTGTAGCCCCAAATGAGACCCAAGGCTGTGGCAGCACGCTACACACTTCTGGGCAATAAGAAATGCAGCGTAGTTGTGACTTATCAGATATCTTGTTGCTGCATATGAATGCATATGTAGGATGAAGTTATATTACACAACTAACTCACTTACTGACCGACTGACTAACTCCATGGAGCACAGTCCATTTTTAAATTCTGACAGTCACATTTCCTGTTAAGTCTTGGTGAAATTAATATTTCATAACATTTAAATGCAGTTACCATGAAAGAGACAAGATTTATGTAACAAAAAATATCTGGCTGGCTACACTTTGTAATGTAAAGTGTTACATACAAATGAACTGGGACTGTATAAATACCTTTTTCCCTGGAGCGAGCAGACGAATATACTTGTTCATCCAACTTTTGAGGCGAGGATGATACTTGTATAGAGAGCCATCTACAGCAATAGTGGTGTCTGGGCAATCTAACCTCTCCAGCAATGTTGCTGTACCTAGTACGCACACATGTCAACGTGTTAATTCAACCTAACTTTAATTTAGGGGGTACTTGCCCCCTCTGTTCACACTCTCCACTTCTGACAGCCCTTCTTTTACTTACCAATAACATATTATTACAAATTATGATAATAATTATAAGTGAGATAAATCATAAAAGAAGTAATAACAACTTACATATTGACACTAACAATGCAGCTCGGTTTGACACCGTTTCACAAACATACTTGACAATAGTAATATCATCAGGATCATATGAAAGGCCCAGCTTATCAAAAATCTCTGATGTGCTGTCACAACTGTCATCCACTGTGTCCCTGTTAACAAGTTTATCAATGTATGAAAATACTGGGGATACTGGGAACGACCCGTTCAAGTGCCTGAGCACTGCGGGTCCCAACTTTTCGTTGGCTTGATCTATGGAAATTCGGTAGGACTCCTTGGACGAGGGATCGGTCCGTCGCAAGGCCTCTACCTGTACACAGGACAGCACAACACAGAAAAACATCCATGGCTTGAGTGGGATTCGAACCCACGGTCCCTGCGACCAAGCGGCACAAGACCCACGCCTCAGACCGCGCGGCCACATAACAGTTCATAAAGATTCCTGCACTGACTCAGACAATAATCTAGAATTAAGCAGCATAAAATTATACATATGTAATAAACACATTTGCAAACCTTGCTTAACCTTCATCGGTCTATTTCTGTATGATAAAGTTCAAACTGCAAGCACTTTCTTCTCATTTGTAAAATAGACTAAATATTCGACACACCATTACTACTGTCACATTACAGAGTTTGTAAGAACTTACTGTTCTACGAGTGATACAAAGCTAGTGGTGAAGGCTCCAGAAGTAAGAAGCATGTCGGATGCTGTACCTCCAAACAGAACGCAGTCTTCAACAAGCTTCACAAGAATCACACGAACAATTTCGCCCAGATACTTACCGCTGATATATTTTTCGAATCTGCAAAATATATGACATCAAAGTTGAAGCTTTTGAGGTTAAGTAAACATCACAAACTCTTTGCAATATTTAATGTCTATTCTTCGCTGTCTTAATAAACATGCATTTATACATACTGTACCTATGTAAAACAAGCTAGGATTTGTACGCATAACCTCTGCACAGTAATCTGATATTTATTTCCTTTGCAAGTGCTTCTTCTACATTTTGATCATTATTTTTCTGATTACAAAAGAGATGTGAAAATATAATGAACAGAAAAATTATTGAATAAATATAAAATACTAGCCAGATGTCTTCAGATCTCCGAAAAACAACAGACACGCTACAAAAAACAAATTCTGTAGGGTGCAACAACCTACTTGGTATGTCTGTCTGTCTTGCATTTCAAAATCTCAGATTTCAGTATCATTTCTTTTGGAATCATAGATCACAGATAGATTTTACTAAATTTCAGTGTTTTTATAATCCACACAAATTTGTTATATTATAGAAATACTTGTAAGCTACAACTATTTTCTTCTTGATGCACCTACATGTTTAAGTTTTTCAATCGCAAGCAGCATAATGAAGGATGAAAAACAATGTAAATAAATCACATATTACATTCTTCTTTGGAAAGTTGTAATATAAATTTTGCCTAATAAGAAATCTCATACCTTTTTATATTGGTAGTACATAATCAGTATTTAAAACAGTAAAGGAAACCAAATATTTTGTTCTAACATAAAATAGTTTTATGATAATTTTAACTACAAGAATCAGTAATTCAAGAGAACTCACGTAAAGGAGTTTGTAATGAGGGAGTTATCATCAACCTTGCGATCATAGTCTGTTTTGATAAAATCCAGAACACCATTATCTCCAAATGCTCCCCATTCAATGTCAATTATAACCTGTAATCAAGTAAACATCATCATTCTTAACTTACCTTTCATTAACACACTATTTTAGACGGTAATCTTTAAAAGAAAATGAAAGGCTTCATGTAAATTAACTGACAGCGGAGATAAATCTGACTTTCTTGGATCAGTAGATCTGAAGATTGACTTCACTGAACATTGTAGTGGCATAATTATTACTGAAATTACTAACTAAAATTTGTGTTGCCACTGTAAAACATGCAATGAAAAACTGCAGATTTTAAATAATTATATAAGAGGTTCAAACTGCAAAAAAGCTAGTGTTAGATGTATATAATAATTTACAGGGGAACTGCCACGAATCACCTGTTTCTCCCCATGCCGTTGCCCTTCCCAGTGCTGCACTCTGTCAGCCCGTTCCATGTAGCAGGCATTGCTTCCTGTTCCCAGTATCAGTCCAATTACAGTCCTCCTGTCAAGCACAGCGCCCTGTATCAGTGTGCCTGACAAAAATACAGACAAGTTTGCACATCTGATTTTGCAGTGAAATATGTATCGACAGCGATTTACTCCAACTTCGTGCAATGCTGTTTTTACACAGTATGTGCGTATAATTACACACATAGTTTGATCCATGGTGTACAAACTGATTGCCATTTCATCAGAGCAATGATGACTGAGACAGTAAGAATCTCTAAAACGCTGGTTAGTTTCTATGAGACTGCGTGGCACAACATCCCAGAAGACAGCCATCTTAATTTAATTTTAATATCCTGATTCATAAACCAAGATATATTTACCAGTAGTATCATTGAGCACTGCCAGAACTTCTACGTGTGTGTCACCACGTCTGTTGATGGCTTCTCTTAACATCTGAACTGCATCACGACCAACAACAGATGGGCAGTTGAACGACTTGGTCCATGTCACAAGAATACCAACATCCAGACCTTTCTGGATCATAGGAAATGAGAAGGTAAAACCTGGAGCAGAACAACATTGTGTAATTCAGACATCTGTGAGGGGAAAAAAACAAAAACAAAAACAAAACAGGATTCTGAAGAACTGTTCCAAACAGTGAGATGGTTGTTCACTGATTATACTAGTATTATTATTTATCATCTGAAAGTGATTACGTTCAAAATTCTGTTAATGATATTTTTGCTAGCTTGAACAAATGGTTTAATGCCAACAAACGTGCATTAAAGTTTAACAAAACAAACTTCATAAAACTGACTACTAATTACAAAACATCTATTAATTTAAATATAGGTTATGGTAATAAAACAATTGACATATTAAGTTCGGTATAATTTTCTACTCATTCAAGTAATTCAATTTAGTTTACTTTTCTTATTTCTATTTCATCATGTCATATGCAGTTATCTTCTGGCAGAAACTGACAGACATCTAACAAGTATTTCACACCCAAAAGAAAATCAATAGAATAATGGCAGGTGTTAAAAAGTCTCTCTTGTAGACAACTATTTAAGGAATTTAATTTACTTCCGCTTGTGAGTGAATTCTTATCATTACTGTCATTCAATGTGGACAACACAGAAAAGTTTCAAAGAAATTTTGACATACAGAGCATAAACATGACCCCCATATGCTTTTTATATGTATCAAAAAATTACTCTTAAGCCACTAAGCTCACAAACTGTTATTATACTTAAGCAAACATGTCTAAAGTTACCATCAGATCAAATACCTTATTCGTGCTTCTGGAACAATCCTTACCTAATGGCAACCTAATGCCAGTGAGATCATGACTTCGTACAAAATCACTGACACATTCTGCCAAAAAATCGAAGAGTCTCTCTCCACAGCCGAGCCTCAACTCCTCTCCTATGTGGTAGTGTTTAACCTTTTCTCGGATAAGGGCGCCATTTGACAGCTCCAAAAGGATCACTCGGAAGTTGGTCCCACCCAAATCCAATGCAAGGAACATACCTTCCTCTAGGCACACAGAACATCATTTTGTACCAACAGAAATACCGCATAACTATTGACGTAGACGTAAGTACGAGGGTGAGTCAAATGAAAACCGTAAAACTGAGATAAAAATTCGAAATATCGCGCCATTGTCCTATAAGTTGGCAGACATGTTACCAATGCTATAAAGAGTATCCTATAGGTGGTAGTATAATGCAGACAAACATATCGCCATCACAGTGCCAATTTGAAAATGGCTGCTCCACTAGTTACGTGCACGAAAGAAGAACAACGTTCTGTAATTCGTTTTTTGATCAGTGAAGAATCTTGAAGAATCATCTTCGACCTGCAGTCAGATCAAAGCGACGTGGACTTTTGACTAGAGGTGTCCTTTTGTGACATGACAATGCTCGGCCCCATACTGCCCGTGCAACAGTTGCAACAATCCAAGACTTGCACTTTGAGTGTCTTCCACATCCGCCATACTCACTAGACCTAGCCCCAAGTGATTACCACATGTTTGGGCCACTCAAAGAGGCGATGGGAGGAAAGAAGTTCCGTTCTGACGAAGAGATACAGCAGGCGGTGCATGAGTGGTTGCGCAGACAACCACAAGAATTTTTTTCTAGAGGAATCCATACACTTCGTAAACGCTGGAGGGCCTGTATTGAACGAAATGGAGACTATGTAGAAAAATGATATAGTTGTGTACCGCTTTCACTCAATAAATTAAATTTAAAAAAAAAATTACGGTTTTCATTTGACTCACCCTCGTATGATGGTGGGCTTCTGGATTGTAACACCATAAGATATTTTAGGTCGTTACAAAGATTTGTGAGAATTATATAGCTTCAATCTTCAGGCTGAAGACAGAGGTGATATGTTCCCCTGCTGTGTTGCTAACCACCTACAATACCACACAACATCACCACCCAGAAGACTACCATCGACGTCGTCACCGCAGCGAGAACTTCAAATCTCCAAAGAAACATGTAACTCCTTTTCATACTGAACATAGTAAAATGAATTATCCCATGTTAAATTTTATATTTAAAAAAAATATATACAGACAATTTAATATGACTCGCTTGACAGCGTCAGGATGTAGTGAATTCACTTGACATCAATTTGTCAGTAACAAAATTAAATAATTATTAACGTAGTTGGATTGTGGGTGACATCACAGTTCTAGGAAATTGATAGCTATTCTACAAGTAACTGAAAACTGTAAATGTGGACTCAAATGCATGATTTGAACTTCTATTCATAAATAAATCCTGAGACAAATATTTGCAGCAACGGGTAGCCAAGATTTCCACCACAAACTCACAACCCATACATGACAATTGCTCACGTGCCAAGTAATTTGCCAATGGTTATACAAGACTACTTGGAAGTTTCACGGATAAATATTCATATTTTATCCGTGATATATGTTGATGTCTCAATAACCTGTTCTTCATGTGATTATCTTCCTGTTTTTAATTATTATTTAAAATGTACATTTACCTGTTCCATCAGGCAATTCAGGAATATACGTGTTCTCCATCTGTAAAGATGACGGCTGCTCGTGGATGCCGCGCTCCATCTCACTGTGGAATACATCCTTGATGCGCAAAACTTTGGCTCCAGTCAGCTGTATCTTATGCACTGCCTCCTCCGCCTGTGAGATTACCAGAATACAAAATCAATCTCTAGGCTGCAATGAGCATATAGACATGTCCTCACAGTGGTTGAACAAGAAAACATCAATGTCAAAATACTTCTGTTACATATAATTATGATTAATAAGTTTCCTTAATTTTGACGAAGGTCATTTGCAGAGCCAAGAAAGAGATGGGATACAACATTAAGATGTTCTGAGGATACGAGGTGCGATCGTAAAGTTTCCAGACTGTGCGTATAAAAACCCGTACACTTATCTCAGGTATTAAATTCATCCATCACCCTCGAAGTAGTTCCCCTGGGAGTGAACACAACGATCCCAGCGCCGCTGCCAAGCCTGGAAGCATCCCTGAAAATCTTTCTTTGTCAGTCAGGGTGATGGATGAATTTAATACCTGAGATAAGTGTACGGGTTTTTATACGCACAGTCTGGAAACTTTACGATCGCACCTCGTATTGGTGTGCTTCGGTGTCAGTAGAGTTGAATATACCGAGTTATGTTATTAGTGTTGGTTTTTCTAATTAAAATATATTTATTGCTCGCGTATTATACTGCCAAATACTGTTTGACTATCTTACAGATTAATACAAACTATACTCCAATTAGATGAAGAAACCTTTATGAAAACTGAGATATTCAGGCAAATATATTTTCGAAACAATCTGTCCTCTGTAGTCTTGCTATGACGTTGGCTTATGTCCTCCCTGACCTTGTCCCACCCGATGTTCATCCTAAAGGCAAGGACATTGCCTGACCTTCTATTTCACATTTTTGTACTGCGACAACGACACAAGGGTCCGTTTGCAGTTGAGCCAATGGTTACGTAGCTCGTGTGAGCGCTCGATTCTCTGGTGATTCGCCCTTGGGATATAATCTAATGGCGGAATTGTATGTAGGAGCGGAGTTTAAAATCGACAATGGAGATAAAGATGGAGGCTGTATGTTTCTCTGAAACGTTGGTATCTATACGACGTCGAAACCCAGAGCAACAATATTGACATTTTTATCGCAGCGAGAACCTCAAATTTCACAACTTTAAAATCGTTTACTGCAAAGTTAGTTGACGTGCATACATTTATATCACACAAAATACACACGACGTGTCTGAGAAACGATGGTCCAGCGTGTTGCAAAACAGTGTTAAGTACCAACTACCACGGATTTTAACCACATTGCTGTTGTTACTGAACGCTGAAAGTCATTTCCTCTCTCATTATTTTGAGGAGAACGACGAAGTACGTGTTTAGTCAGAGAATGCCTGTTGGGTTAAACGCCGCGTAAACATTACGTAGAAGCTAACGTTTCGGTGAAACATACTGCCTCCATGTTGAAGTCTAAAGCAAATAATTCATGTTAGAATGTTCTTGCGGAAAAAGTGTTTAAACGCGGAGGTAACTCGTCATAAAAGTGTCAGTGTGGCAGGGGTAACCAAAAGGTGTGATCGACTTCGATATAACAGCGAAATATAAAAACCAAAGAACTAACAAAGAAATAAACTTCTATATAAAAATGTAATTGATCTAATTCCGGTCTATGTCGTGGAGATCTTGGACAGATAAGAGGCATGAATCTTAATATTAGGGGGGGGGGGAGTCCTGAGCTTTTCTTTGATGCCCTGTGTAAGCACAAGTCTCGCGATGGGTCTATCCACCCACCACAGAGTACTATGAAATGCATCATTAACAGTAAGTAAAATACAGCAGAAAAGAAACAAGCGCTAGAAACAGCTTTTACCGAATGATTAAGTAACGTTAAGTAACGCTTTGTATATCTTAACGATACTTCTTATTATTGGAGAATGTCACGAGCCGCCATTGTACGAATTCTAATTGGACAAGATGCTTAAATATTCGTAGTAAATTAGCGTCTTTTCTGCTTGAAGAAGCTACACATCCCTGAAGAAGAAGGTAGTACGAGGTGCGATCGGAAAGTTTCAAGACTGCGTGTATAAAAACCCGTACACTTATCTCAGGTATTAAATTAATTCATCCATCACCCTCGAAGTAGTTCCCCTGGGAGTGAACACAACGATCCCAGCGCCGCTGCCAAGCCTGGAAGCATCCCTGGAAATCTTTCTTTGTCAGCCTGTCAAGCACCATCTGCGATTCTGCCTGAATCTCTTCTATCGCCTCAAATCTCCTTCCCTTTAGCTGAATTGTCATCTGTGGGAAGAGGAAGAAGTCACACGGAGCTAAATCCGACGAATAAGGAGGGTGCGGGATGACGGCCATAGTGTTTGAGGCCAAAAACTGCCGAACTTTGAGGGCGGTGTGCGCTGGCGCGTTGTCATGATGCGTCGCATGGGGAGTTCTTCGTTTAGAATCAGCTGACAGGTCCCATAGCCTACCCCAACAATGTCGCACAAGTCGTTGAGGGTACGACGTCGATCTTCGTGAATGGCCTGCCGAATCTTCGTAACATTTTCGGGCGTTGTGCTCGAAGATGGTCGTCCAGAACGCTCGTCATCATCGACAGAGGTTCGGCCATTTTTAAAACGTAAATGCCACACAAAAGTTTGTGCACGACCCATTGCGGACTCCCCAAATGCTTGCTTTAGCATTTCATAGGTTTCCGTAGCCGTTTTGGCGAGTCTTTGGCAAAATTTGATGCACACGCCATTCCGAAAGCGCAGGAGGGTCGGTGTAATGCACTACCAAAACGCCCGTAACTAAGAAACAAATCCTAATTCGAT